TGGTGACCTTGGTTGGGGAGGAGGGCAGTGCAGCATCTATGGCCATCAGCAGAACAAGGCCATTTCTTGGAGATGCCACCTGGGGGGTATGTGTATGAACCGGGACGTGGCTGGGGATGATTTCCAGGTTGCTTTGAAAAAAGCCTGAGTTGGAGACTCAGGAGAAAAGCTTCTTTTTCCATCTCTCAGTCACGCGCACATAAGCACACACACACCTGTCCCTCTAATGTAGGGGAGGCCAAGTCCCAGTTCTAATTTATCTAGCCCAAACGAACAAAAAAGCAAGTGAAAACAGGCCAAAGAGAAGGATTTACTGCCAATTTCCTTGGAATTCCTAGGAACATGTTTCAGATTCCCTACAAAATCCCAGGTTGCAGCCAGCTAACCTGGAGTGCTGCTGTGGGGAAAGGGAGGCCCTTCGCACAGCGTGGTGGTGTAGGGGGCAGGCAGGGAGCTAGGGAAGTGGGGTTCAGGGTTTTCTCAGAGAGGCTTTAATGAGAGGGAGGAGAGGAGGAAGCAAGAGGTCTGGCTGGGCCAGGTCGGAGCTATAGTGAGTGGATAACCCCGGATGGGACAACTTCAAAGGGGCCACACCTTAATCACAGGGGCTTTGAAGATGCTGGGATGAAAAGCCTCGGGTTGTGTAATTACCCGCAATGCCATTCTCCCAGGCTGCAGGGGTCCCTGGGCAGCCTCCCTGAGCCCCAGGGCTGGGCCCAGGGCACTGCTCACCCCTGCAGCTGTCTGGGCTGCCCCGCACCCGCCCCCCAACCCCCAGCCTCTTGGGGGGGGGGTGGATGGGGCAGCCCAGCCTCTGGGAAGGCAAGCCCTGCTGGGCAGCTTCCCGGCCCTCAGCAGGCTGTGGAACGTGACCTCACACAGTCGGGAGGCGGAAAGATGCTGTTTGTTGGTGAGAGACTAGGGTAAAAGAGGTGGCAGGGAGGAGGAGGGGAGGGGACTGCTGTCACCACAGCAACGTGGACCCAGCACACCAGATGGATGCCTTCTTCCCCCATGGTCAACAGGACCCAGAGAAGTGTGGCTTGAGCCGGAGTCGTAGGTGCCCCCATCGCTGTGTGAGGCCGGAGCTTGGAACGCGTTTAGCCCTTGGACTGACTGACGTGGTTTTGTGGGCGCCCAGTGTGGCAGGCTCCGGGAAGGAGGATGTGACGCAGGGCTTGGAGTTCTGAGCTCTAACTATGCCCTGAGCCGTTTCCCAACTAGAACATGGGTGGGGGAGCGGCAGAGGGTGAGGGGATGGTCGAGTAGAGGGCTTTTCCTTTCACTGAAGCTCTGCTGGGATGGCCCCCCATGGAGCAGGCTGCAGGGGTCCCGGGTCCATTCCCCCTGGAAGGCCCTGGGTTGGGGGGCCCGCTGACTGCAGGTAGGAATGGGGCCGGGATGCCACTGGCCAGAAGCCAGCTGCTCAGGGACACAAGGGGCTTGTGCCCTTTGCAGGGGGAGTGAGCTGGAAGCCCTGTCCATCCTTTTGTCCCAGACCAGGTTCTCCCGGTGTCTCCTCCCCTCCCTGCTCCTCCCAACCAGATGCGGCCAGTCACCAGTCACCGGGCACCCTCCTCAAGGCTTCTTTAGCCTCCAAATGCTTGCACACCTCTTGGACCCTCAAAACCACTTCCTCCCACCTGCCCACCCTAGTAGAGAGAGCCCAGGCCTTCCTCTTCCTGTCAGGCTCCTGGGCGCACTGCCTCCTCCCGCCGCTGCTCTGACTCTTGTCTCCCGGTGTCAGAAGGTCACCTGCTGAGAGAATCTAGAAGAGTGGTGTCCAGTGTATGTATGGGTGGGGGGCTGGGGGGGGGATACTGGATGGGAAGGGGCTTGAGGGAGCTTGCTGGAATATCTCCAGTCCCTACCTCTTCATCAGGTGGTGATGAGCAACCGAGCTGTACGCTTAATATATGTGCATTTTCCTAAATTATATTACAATTTTTTTTAAAGATTGTATTTATTTATTTGTCAGAGAGAGAGAGAGAGAGCGCACAAGCCTAGAGAAGCAGGCTCCCCGCTGAGCAAGAAGCCCCATGCGGGACTAGATCCCAAGATCCTGGGATCATGACCTGAGCCGAAGGCAGCGGCATAACCGACTGAGCCACCCAGGCTTTCCTGCATTTTTAAAAAGCTAGGGCACAAAGGTCAGCCAGAACCTCTTTTCTTGGCAGCCTCATCCCTGCGGCAACTTGCCCTTTAGAGTCTGCTGGCCACGCCCTCCTTCCTGATGCTCCGCCCCCAGCTCTGCCCCTCCCGCTCTGGCCGCCTTCCTTTGCTTTGGAATTCGGAATGCGCCTCCCTGCCCCCTGCTTTCTAGCCTTGTCGGTGGTCCTGGTGGAATTTAATTCTTAGAGTATCAAGCTAGTGCATACCTGTGGGCCTTTGCACATACTATTTTCTCAGCTAGGAATGACTTTCCTCCAGCCTGTCCCCTGGCAAAGTGCTATTCACATTTCAAGGCTCAGATCAAATATTTCAGACACCTTCCTTGGTGACACCAAATACATTCCCACCCTCTGCGTTGTTTCTAGTTCACACTGAACATCTTACACCGGATTCTGGACTGGGATGAACGATTTGCTAGTCTGTCTCTTTCCCCAGACTAGGCTGTGAGCCTCTGGAAGCCAAGATCACTCCTCTTGTTTGAAATGTATAGTTACCGTTACTGACCATCTATGAAGTGCCTGGCTAGAGCGAAGGTTAAAGGCATTGGCCATGAAGCCAAGCAGGTTTCTCTGTGCCTCAATGTCCTCGTCTATAAAACGGGCATCATAATATACCAACCTCATAGGATCGCTCTGAGCGGAGGGTTGGGAGCAAGGTGTGGCACGGAAAGCCCTCAGTGACCTCAGCCCTTACATTGCTCTGTGGTCTTACTTAATCCCACCACCCTGGGAAGCAGGTATTATTACCCCCATTTTACAGAGAAAACCAGGACCCAGACAACCCCCAAGGTCACAGAGGAGCCAAGCTGGCCCTCTGGACTCCAGCCCTGGCCTCCCTGCCCCACCTCTCCCACCGCCTTGACCCAGCACCTGGCATCCCAGGCACCTGTAGGAGCCCAGTCACTGTTTGTTGCATGAATGAAAATGATTCACCAAGTGGCACGTTTGCCCCCTCCAGTCTGGGCAAAATTTCTGGGCGATTATTTGGCATACTTAATAAAAATAAACTGTTTGGGGCACCTGGGTGGCTCAGTGGGTTAAGCCGCTGCCTTCGGCTCAGGTCATGCTCTCAGGGTCCTGGGATCGAGTCCCGCATCGGGCTCTCTGCTCAGCAGGGAACCTGCTTCCCTCTCTCTCTCTCTCTCTCTGCCTGCCTCTGTCTACTTGTGATCTCTGTCAAATCAATAAATAAAATCTTAAAAAAAAAATAAACTGTTTGCATGGTTGACACGTCTTGGTCACTTCTGGCCTCAGCTAAATGTCATTTCCTCAGAGACTGTCAGCCACCACCCACTCCCATATACATTAGTTTGCCAAATAAGAAACAGGAAGAATGAACCAGAAACCAGTGAAGATGGTAGGTGCGTGTGTGTGTGTGGGGGGGGGGGGGGGTGCGGACAGGGGAGGGGCCAGGAACAGGAGTGATTCTCTGATTATAACTTTTTATATAGCTTGACTGTCATATACGTGATATCTCCAAAAAGTAAAATGAAAACAAGGGGCTGGGGAGGAGGGGAGAGCACTAACTCATTATCAAAATCAATACAATAACCACAGAGAGAAAAGAATAATTTCAAGGTACTTCTGGGCACTGGCCTCTGACAGCACCCCCTAAGTGAGGTACATTCTAAAAAGACAATAAAATCCCCCCAAATTGTAAAAACACAAATTTACTCCATAGGCATACATTTAGTAGTATTACTAAAATTGGAATTTTAATACAGCAAACAACACATTAGTGTTACTAGGTATTAAGGTCTTCCCTGCAAAAGGTTATATATAAAGATTTTCAAAGATTTGCTTCCCTTGTATTTTCCCTAGGGGCCCGTCGTTGGTAAGGCCACACTCACTGTTTGACATCAGATGCATTGCCTAAAGGTGCTGAGGGGAGGGCAAGGAGAGCTGGGGGGTCACTAACTCTCCCAGACAGGCTTTCCTGTGGTCGGCTCTGGTGCATTGCCCAGACTTCTGGGCCTTCTGGTGTTCCTTGATGGTTGTGAATACAGACTTATGTGGATGGCCAGCAGGAGACCCTCCCCCAGGCCTGAGGCAGGCCATGGGGGTCCCTGGGTCTTCAAATGCCAGCACGGAACAGACTTGCATTCTGGGGGTTTGAGCTATGCCCAGGACTTCCAATACGCCCCCTGGAGAATCTCTCAAAGACCTCGCCCTCTCTCCAGGTTCACAGATGAGTCAGGTGGCTTTGCTCTCTTACGGGTGATGGTGGCAAACAGTGGCTCTTGGGTTAATGAGAAGTTGGAAAGTAAACTGCGTTGGATAAAGGTAAACTGATAAATTCTTCCTTACGCTGCAGAGACAAAGGCTGAGGGCCGCTCCTTTTTCAAGGCCAGGCAGGAGGCACTGTGAGCGTGGAACCTGACGCCAGGACCCTCACTCACAGGGCTCCCTGGTCAACGGCAGGGTTCGAATCCTGGTTCTGCTGCCGGAGAGCTGGCTGTGGGACCTCGGGCAAGTCATTTTACTTGTGCCTTGTTTACCCCTCTGAAGGCAGGGAGATTAACAGGACCGAACTCAGAATTCTCGTGTGCATAAGATCGTGTTGTGAAGAGCGCTTTGAACCTTCCTATGCAGTGTGGTCCTGGGCCTGCGGGATCCCCTGGACCTCGGGAGGATGCAGACTCAGTCTCCACACCAATCTGCACTTGAATGAGGCCCCAGCTGGCATGGCTGCAGTTTCTGAAACACTGGTGTAAAGTAACCCCAGGGAGGTACCCATCACTGGCCTAGTCATCCCCAGCGGCCACACCTGCTCCCAGGCCTGCTTGGGGAGAAACCCCCAGAGCAAAAATGTGAACCAAGGGCTATCTGTTTCACTTTATCCTTTTCTACTTTATTACTTCAAATTAACAACCACAATAAAGCTCAAAAAAGTCCAATATTTACACAGGAAAAAAGTACAAAATTCCCCCCAAAGTTCTTCAGTATTTTTTTTTCAGTTTTTTAAATTACAAAGTAATAAAAAGCTTTGCTCTTTAATTAAAAAAAAAAAAAAGGAAAAGAAAAAAAGGGGAAAAAGAGGTAAATAAATTAGGAAATACACACACAGAGAAAACAAACAAAAATAAAGTAAAAATGGGTGTTAACTAGGAGGGGTGGATGAATCCGGTGCCCATCCCTGACCCCAGGCTCCTCCTGGAGAGAGAGGCAGAACACGGGGAGGGAAGGTGGGGCGCCAGGTGAGTGTGGCCTGCCCGGAGAATTAATTCATAACCCAGGAGCCGGATGCTTTCTGGAAGTAGTCACAGATCTGCCCTAAGACCACGGAAAGGGGATGGGGCTGCCACAGGCTGCTGACAGTCTCAGGGATCGACAGTGACAAGGACCCTCTATGCCCTTCTTGGGGGCCACAGAAAGTCACCGCCTACCCCTGTGTTCTTGTTAGGAGGGCGAGAACCAAAAGTCCACCTGGCAGGTGGGGCAGGGCACCTGCTGTCCTGGGAGCTACAAAGACAGACACACACACACACACACACACACAAGGAATCCCAGCCCCCACCACCTCGCCACCCATTCCTCAAAGTCTTCTTGGAGAGGCAAAGAGACCCAGACGTTCAGGGGACACTGAAAAGCCCAACCCAGAAATTTGGCCACAGTCATTTCGGGGCAGTAGGAGCTGTGCCTGTCTCCTGGGGTCCCGAGACTCAAGAGCACCCAGTGGGATCTACCCCGATCAACCACACCATTCCCCCCGGCTCCTCAGGCCACCTCTTGATGGCACACGAGGACCAGCGGCATCTCCAACATGGAAATAGCCCCTCTTGGCCGGTGTCTGCGCTGGCTGGGGCACGGCCGTGGCGCCTGGCGTGTGGAGCCCCATGTCTGGGGAGCATTTGGCTGCCTGAAGGTTGTGGACAATGGGAAATGCGTAGGGACAAGAATCCTCTGTGCTGAAGGCATCCCATCTTCTTGCCAATGGCAAAAAAAAAAAAAAAAAGGAGAAAAAGAAAAAGAAAAAAAGAAAAATAAAAGAAAATCCATCGTCGGTTTTATGCTGGGTTTTTTTTTCTTTTTGTTCTTTTGAGTGGTTTTTTTCCCCATCTTTTTGTTGTTGTTTTTAAAAGAAAATACAGTGAAGACACTGGAAGGGGGAGAGAAAACAGATCAGATGCACGTCTGCCTCTGGCCACCATCCGCCAGACAACCTGAGTCCCCATGCTCCTGTCACGAGGCTTTGAGCGGGTCCCTCTCCAGGGACACAGTGGGTGCTCCATTTTCATGGGAAGAACAAAATCTCTCTCCCTCCTCCTCCGTCCTCTCGGTGAGCAGCCACGCACCTGCCCCTCCCTGCGACGGAAAGACTGGTTCCCCGACCTGAGAGCTGGCGAAGGCAAGCCCTGTTTCACGTCCCAGCTCTAGCCGTGGAATGAATTTCTGCAAATCACCTCACGCTCAGGGCGTCCTGGTGTGAGGCCACGCTGGTGAAGCCCCCTGCCACATACCTATTCCCCAGGGAGCTCAGATGTTTCCCCCTACAGCCCTCCCCTCCCAGAACCTTCCCTCTGCCCCCTGCGCTTCCCCAAGTCAGGCTCCTGTACTTGGGGGTTTATCTGATGTAAAACGTGGCCCTTGGTGGCCTCCCAGAGCCCTTTGGCCAGTGTGAATCTCCGTGGGATGCCCAAGTACAGGACCCGGTTCTAAGTGCTTTATGGGAATGACATGTTTAACAGCCCAGGGGCTAAGGTAGGACTAAAGGCCTGGGGGCAACTGTCAGCCCCCAGGGCTGTCTTGGCTAAGAACTAACTCTTCTGCGGACTACTGGAAGGGGGACAGGGACAGCCAACAGAGGGACAGAGAATGGAGGACTGGCCTGAGGGCAGAGGGAGGCTTTTTCCAGCTGAAATTAGCTGGTATGGGCTGGGCTGAGCCAAGTAGCTCTAAGGTAAATTCTCTCAAGAGCTGTTGATTGGGGTGGGGGGGCGGGGAGAGGCCCTGCCACTCCCCGCCCCCCCCCCAGGCCGTGGGTGTTTCTAGACCTGGCTGGGCTCCATCTGCCGCAGATACTGACTCACCTAAGCAAATACTGGTCCGATGGTGGCTCTTCCTCACTTTCCGAGATGGTCAAATGGCACGCTTGTCTTTGAGAGGAGAGACACAGAGGCGGGGAGGGGATAAGCTGCTGCTGACAGCAGTCTGGCAAGTCTCTCCCCACTGTGGAGCTCCCTGCCCACCCCCACTGCCCCTGGAACCAAGGGAAGGGGAGTGTGACCTCAATGACCCTAGGACATAGCTGCTTCAGAGACAAAGCAGCTGCTCCACGCCACATGGACATCACATTGGGGCCACCAGACTCCCAGCTCATGGCCCGTCCTGGGGCTCACCCACCACAAGCAAAAGGACCAAGGCAGGTCTCCTGCTGCCTCTGCAGGAGATCCCTGGGCAACTACAGACTCCCCCTTCCCAACTTTCTGAGTCCAAACACGGTCCCAAGTGAGGCCACCAGCAGAATCTGCCCATCCCTCCACCCTGTGCTGACAGGGACCTGAGGGGGACTTCCCGACGGCTGGGACCACGACCCCTCCTCCATGAGCTCCCTGTGGCCCACTGGGGCGGGGCCTGGCTCCCTGTGGCCCAGCTCTACCACTAGCTCTGAGCCTGCTTAGGCTCTGCTCCCTGGGGCTAAGCCAACCTCAGGAAATTAAATGAAGCCAGGTCCCTTCCTCAACAAAAGGGGCTGCTCCAAGGTCATCGGAGAGAGGAGAATGGAAGCGGGAGCCCTGACTCCCCCAGGCCACGGCCCTCGGGCCCACTGGCGAGGCAGAGGAGGCCGGCAGCCAGGGCAGCTCACCTGTGAGGCTGAAATCCGGGAGACCTCTTGCCGCCCAGTGAGGTCGGAGGAGGAGACGTTGGCAGGCGCCCCCCTGTGTAGCCTCATGCTCACCTTCCTCTCTCTGTCGACTCGTGAGATCGCTCTGGGAGAAGTATTGCCTAGAGGAGGAGAGGTAGGGAGAGGCAGGGGGAAGCCCCCCATCAGTGTCCAGACCCCCGTCGCTCCGGCCCCCCTTGGGCCCAGCCCACTGCGCAAGGGGCCCCCCACCCCGCTCACCAGCTTGCTGGATGCGGGAGGCCGGGGTGGAAGCCACAGGCTCTGCTGCACTGCGGAGCCGGTTGGCGGCAGCCCCTGTGGGCGGGCCAGGGGGTAGGGCCCGGGTTGCCGAGCCACGGAGCTGTCCCATCCTCTCCTCGCGCTCGTGCTCTCGCCGCTCCCGGTCCACGTCCTCGGGGTTCCGGGCTGCGCCCTGCGGGGAAGAGAGGAGACCCGGTCAGGCCTGTGAGGTCCAGCCCTCCCACTGGGCAGAGTACGGGGAAGAGGCCGGGTGGGCCCCTGGGGAAGAGGCAGCTCGGAAACCCTCTGGTCCAACCTCCTCCCCACCAGGCGGGAGACCTGGAAATGATTCCCAAACACACAGTACAGAGAAACAAAGCCACACGACCGCCCGGAGGAAGGAGGAAGCTGGGTCAGAGGAATGGGCCGAGGTCACTCTGCCCTGGTCTCATGGGGCTGAGGCAGAGTTGGGAGGGCTAATGCCCCAGAGGACTAAGGGCACTCCTTGGCCCTCCCAACCCAGGTCCCTGCTGTGTTCCGAAGCCCTCAGCCCCTCCAAGTTTCCAAACAAGCAGAGCAGGTGTTCAGAGACCCAGAGAATGAGGAACAAGGCTAGCTAAAAGCAGGGACAGCGTCTGAACCAGGGAGCCAGCCAGGGGATCCCATCAAAGGTTGTTCTTGCCCCATCCCTGGAGCCGGCAATGACTTCCGGCAGGTGCTGTCGGGGAGGCCCTGGGACTCACACGGATGCTGCTGGCCCTGGGACAAGACAGGAGCTCAGGGGGAGCTTGAGAAAGAATGGGCTAGGTGCCCCCATGGGAGGAAAAAGAGGCCTAACAGGTAGGATGGGGCGGAAGGGTTCCGGGAGCCCCCAGGGCCTGCCCTCCGGCCGCTGCCACCCCAGTGCAGGAAGAAAGGAGACAGCCTCAGAGAGAGGAGCATGGCATGGGAGCGGCATCTGGCCGCATTACCTAGTTGGTCCTGGGGTCGTCCACAGGGAAGGGCGGGGGGCTGGCATGAGGGGGGCCGCATCTGTGGAGGAGAGAGCTGCAGGCTGAGTAGGGGGGCCTGTTCATGGGCCACGGGGCACAGGCTCCTGCAACCCTGTGTCTCTCCCAGGCACCTGGCCAGGAAGGCCCTGCTATCCTTGGGAAACGAGGGCTGGGGGCGGCCCTTGCCTTTAAGCAACTCCAAGAGATAGGGGCTGGGGAGCAGAATGATCCCTGAACCCTAGTGAGGAGTCGAGGCCCAAGGAGCCCTCGTGACCTGTGTGGGCTCACACAGCTCAGGGCAGAGCCAGGGTTTAAATCCAGGCCTCTGCCCCCCGATCCTACTCTGCACCCCCAAAGAGCTTAGGAGGGACATACATCCCCAGTCCTCCCACCCACAAGCCTGACAGGGCAGGCCTGGAACCCCCGAGGCTCTAGCTCCTGACTCCAGTCTCCACCCAGCCCCACCCCGGACCCCGGGCTCCCATCAGCGACAGGACGGCAGAGAGCACCTGAGCCCCAGAAACAGAGCAGGCCTATGTAAGAGCTGCAGCCCCATTCAGGAAACCTGCGGGCCGGGTGGGGGACAAGCCCATCCCTGGCCTGGGCCAACGGAGGCTGGTGAAGCCGAGGGGTCCACTCAGAGGGGTACAGGCCAGGGGTGAGCAACTGCGCAGAGGGCTACACCCTGACCCCAGCAGGCTCAGGTCAAGGCTAGCCCCAAAGCAGGAGGAGCTACTTTCCACGTTTCCATCCAACCAGTGACGCCTCAAGAAATGCACACCGGGGAGGTTTCTTGGCTTTTATTCGCCCACAGGAAACACAAAAAGTCAACACCAAAGTCACACAAGCATCCAGCCCTGCAGTGCAGACCCCTGTCCTTGGCTACACTGAGTATCCTCCGGGCTTGCTGGTTGGACCTCGGAAAACGGTGCCTCCGTGTGCGGACCGCAACGTCCCAGGCTCCAGGGAGCCAGAGGTCCGGGGGCCCTGACGCTGAATGGGGTGGCTACTTCAGGGAGAGCCGCTTGCAGTCAGGGGTGGGATCCTTCTCCCAGGAGTCCGTAGCCCTGGGTGCCCAGCATGGTGTCCGGTCTGTAGGTAGGTGCTGGTAAGTGCATCGGGGGCCTGGCCTTGGGACGAAGGCATGGAAGGTCCCCACCACGTGTCTGCAGATGCTTCCGCCAACGGGCAGCTGGAGATGGTGGAGTTCACCGTGGGGTGATGGGCTCAAAGGCGCCCAGCGATCCAGTCCAGGCCCTCAGGTCAGAGACTGGTGCAGAATAAGGCTGTGGGCACCTCTGTTTGGCTCCTGACTCCAGAGCCTGCCTCGAAGGGGACCCCGGGGAGGGGTCGAAGTGCCAGCAGTGGGTGGGGAGGGTGCTCCTGGCCGGGCTTGAGGGGAGATCTTGTCAGCTGGATGGTCCCATGAGAGGTTCTGTAAGGAGCCATCTAGAGCAGCACTGCCCCACAGAACTTTCTGTGATGACAGAAATGTTCACGTCTGCCTTGTTGGATCTGATAGCCACTCACCAGCCCCGTGTGGCTCCAAACAACTTGAAACGCAGCAAATTCGACTGAAGAGCTACGTTTTCAGTTTTGGTTAATTTTAATTAATTAAAAATCAGCCACACGTAGCCACCAGCTACCATATTGCATGGCGCAAGCCCCAAGACAACGTAAAACCCGTTCTCGGAGCTACACTGCGAGGAAGGGCCAAGCCCATCCCTGAAGCCGACCCAGGGATGACTTTCCACACAGATGGGGGCAGTGCCCAACGTCCAGATGCCTTGAGCAATGAATGCCCTTTGGGCGAGAAGAGCCGGCCCCTGGCCCTCGGCCACACTCCCAGCTAGGAGGTCTGGGCCAGAAGGTTCCCCACTGCCCATCGCCCGCCCCCACCCCTCGAGTCCCCTGGCCTGTGGGACCGTGGCTCTCTGCCCAATCTCTGTCAGACTCCTTAGGGTACAGTACCAAGTCCCCGCCTAAGCCCCAGAGAGAAGAGGGCCGCGAGCCCAGGTGCTGAGCCCTGCATCCAGGAGAAGCTGCCCTCAGGTCCTGGGCATCTGGCGTCCGCCACGAAAGGAGTAGCACACCAGCATGAGGTGCAGAACAGGTAGGTGGAGGCGCTTAATGAGTTCAGGTTCAATACAGAGGCCACCGTCAGGGTCTTGCTGAAGCCATTCTTGGTGCCCATTCCCACCAGGTCCTCCAGGGCAGTGAACATCATCCCTTCTTCAGGCTCCGTTCATGAGGCAGCTGATTGATCCCCAAGAATCTCACGGCAGGGCCTTCACCACTCCCTCTCCACTGCACCCCACCACGCCAAGGGACACCTCCTCAGGCCTGGCCCCGATGGGCTCAGACACATCTGGTGACGTCAGAACTGGGGCCCTGGAGTCCAGACCACAGGCCAGTAGTTTTGGGGGGGCAGCTCCTCCACCTCCTCCACGGGCCTATCTGGAGGGCCCTGGGTGCCCAGGGGCACCGGGCACCTGGAAGGGACAGAGAGCACAGCAGAGGCTCAGCCTCTTGTGCTCGCCCAGCCAAGCGGTAAATCTTGGAAAGGCCGGGCCTCTGAGGGTCCTTACCAGTATGAGGGTGAGTACGTGGGCCCAGGACAGGGACAGGGACAGGGCAGCGCAATGGCTTCGTTGTCACGGGGCTGAGCCTGGCTCGAGGAAGCCCCCTTTTCCAGAAGAGATGTGAAACAAGACACACGATTTCACAGATTCCGGAGCTCTGGGCACTGCTGACGGGCTGACGCTTCTCCCCACCGCCCCCAACCCCCAAAACCCTTAAAAGAGGGAGACAGAGCAACCGCCTAGCAAGACCCAGGGTCCCATGACCAGGAAGAAAGAAACCACAATGAATGGGTCCAGGCTGGCCAGAGGGGCCATGGTGAAGGCAGCTGCCTGGGGCGTGCAGGACAGCAAGAGCAGGGTGGTGTAGGCGACAATCAGGACAGCCGGAGGGCCCGCCAGCGCCATCCACGCCCTGCCAAGGGCACCTAGGAGGGACTCAAGGCCTGGCCAGGTCCTCTTCGGCCCGGTGGGAGGCGGTGCCCTGCCTGGGCCCCACTGCCCGCGGCGGCACACGCGCTCATCACAGATGAGGCTAGAGTGGGAGGACCGCGGGGACTCCGGGAGCCCAGCGAGGTCGCGTGCCCTGTCCAGCTCAGAGCCCCCACTTTTCGGGAGCCCCACCCGCCACAGGGTTACTTTGGCCTTAGGAGTCGGGGCCTTCCCCGTCCAGTCCCCCAAGCCCGCCTTGGCCTCCAGGTGACTCACGAATTTGAGCATGTTCCAGTCGAAGACGTAGTCGTAGGAGAAGCCCTGCCGGTGGAAGAGGTTGCGGAAGAGCTGGCGCAGGTACGAGTAGTCAGGCTTGTCGTCGAACCGCAGGGAGCGGCAGAAGTTGAGGTATGTGGAGAACTCGGCTGGGAGAGGGCACAGAAAAGGCTGCCGTGAGGCCCAGCCTCCCGGGGTCCCCGCCCCCGCAGCCCGCATCATCCTACCCACCCGCTGTCCCTCCAAAGGCTCTCAGTCTCAGAGGGGACAAGAGGACGACAGAGCAGAACAATGGTCCTCCTTATGGCGCTAAAACCCTTGCATGCCGGGGAGCAGAGCCTTAAAGACTCGACGAGAAGGGCCGGGAGTTAGGTGCGCGCGCCCCTCGCAGCAAGGGCACCCCAGGGCCACAGGCCACAGCTCTACCTGCTCTTGCCAATCACTCTGGGGAGCAGGCATGCAGATGGCAGGTCAAGAGCTGTCATAAAATCCAAAGGACAGTCAAGGGCCCAGGGGGAGCTCCAAACGTGACTGAAGCCACAGGAGGCAAACCTCCATCTCCTCCTCCGGAAAGCAGGGCCGGGGCAGCCCCCAGGACGAACAGAAAATGCACACTGGCCTCTGACCCGTCCCTGGCACGGGAATTCCTCAAACCCTCATAAACCCTTAAATGCTAACAGCACTGGGCGCATCTTTTGTTCCAATGAGGCGACTCTGGGTGGCCTCCTAATGGCTCCTGGATGGGTGGGAGCTGGTCACCAGAAAGACCAAGCCTAAGACCGTGCTTAGAAGCTTAGAATTTCCAGCGTCCATCCCCAAACACTTCTTTAGAAGGGAGAGTGCCTGAAAACAGAGTTAGTACTCACTTATGTCTACACGAGGAAGCCTCCACAAACATCCCAACAGCATGGGGTTTGGACAGCTTCCAGGTTGGTGAACACATCCCCATACAGGAGGGTGACACGCCCCAACTCCACGGGGACAGAAGTCCCTGTGCTCGGCCCCTTGCAGCCCTCACGCTCTGTTATCTTTTCATCTGGCCGTTCATCTACATTTTTTATCTTGGCCTTTCATAAGGTGCCACACAGAGGAAGTTTCCCTGAGTCCTGTGAGCTGCTCTAGCAAATTCATCCCTGCTGGGGGAGGGGAGAACATGGGAACCTCATCGCAGAGCACAGGTAGAAAGCTGGACTTGTGACTGACCTCGGGCTGGTGGGGGGCTCTCATGGGATGGAGCCCCAAACTATGGGATCTCCCACTGTCTCTAGGCAGACCATGTCAAATGGAGTCAAGCTAGAGGGCACCCAACAGTGTCCCAGAGAACGGCTTGATGGAGGAAACCCCCACACGTGTGGTGAGCCCATGTGTCAGAAGGGGCCTCTGCATGGGTGGTAAAGGGGCCTCACAGGGCAAGGAAAAATGAGCTTTTCTTACTCGAAGCCCTCATGAGATGAGGCGGGCGGGGGAAGGGGGGCCGAGCAGTGATAGCCAGCCTGTGACCAACGCTCTGACGCTGGGGCAGCGGGGGTCCAATTTGGGCTGGGTGGCCCTGTCTTCCCCTCAGGGAGGCCTTGAAGGGTTCCCCGGCCAGCCGCCGTCCTCACGGGGCTACTCACAGGGGTAGCCTTTGCAGAGGACCTCGATGGGCGTCGACATCTTCTTCTCACTGATGCGCTCATACTTCTGGCGCTTGGTGGCCGCTTTGAGGCCCTGCCAGGGCAGGGAGCCCAGGTTGAAGTACATGAGTACGTAGCCCAGACTCTCCAGGTCGTCGCGGCGGCTTTGCTCTGCACGGAATGGAGGACGAGGTGAGGGGCGGGGTCTGCGGGGGCTCCTGGCCAACAGGAACCAGGCCCCCCTCCTCCAGGACATGCTCCTCAACTAGGGACACCGCCCACACCCCCTCACCCCACTGCCTGGCCCACCAGCTAGCTGTGACTCCAGCAGAGACACAGCTTACAGTCACCCTTCTACAGAAAAAGATGCGGGGCCCAGCTTTTCCTACTCAATCAGGGCCTAGTTTCTCCAGCTCAGGCATCTCCGCATTCAGCCGCTGGAGAGCAGGCAGCCCCGGGCCTCCTTGCCAGCCCCCCCACCCCGGGACAGGGCACAAGTGCAGCCTCAGACAGGGCCAGGGTCAAATCCGACTCAGTACCTCAAGCACCCGTGAGCCCGTGTCCCCCACACAATGGAAAGCGAACACCTGCCCAGGTTGCTATAGGGCTGAAGTCAGGTATCTTAAGGTGGTGGCCATGCCACAGCTGTCCTGAAGGGGAAAACCTGACTTTGTGGCAACAATGGGGGGGGAAATACCTCCAGCCGCAGAGAGCCAGGGCCCCGGCCCGCTAGTCCACAGGCCTCATGCACTTACCGATGCCCAGGTGGGTATTGATGGAGGCGTAGCGGGCAGTGCCAGTCAAGTTCTTGTTTTCCCGGTAGGGGATGTGCTGGTGCGTGCGGGCGTCCCGGTACTTCTTGGCCAGGCCGAAGTCGATGATGTACACCAGGTTGCCCTTCTTCCCCAACCCCATGAGGAAGTTGTCAGGTTTGACGTCCCGGTGTATGAAGTTCTTGGAGTGGATGTACTCGATGCGGCTAATCTGGGGGAGGAGAAAGCAAGGCATTCAGCGAGTGGTCTGGGGGTGTGCTTCTACCGAGCAGTCGGGGCCAGGCCCTGCAGTGGGGCCTGAGGGCTGGGACGGTAGGGACAGAAAACACACATCCATGATCCCTGCCTTGGGTAGGAGAGAAAGATCTGTCTCTGCAGCTGTGTGAGATGATTTCAAGGGGGCAGGTCAGAAACAGCTTCCCGGAGGAAGTGACACAGACAGGAATTGTGAAAGAGGAGTTCACCAAGGTTACTGTGAGACGGAGAGGGGAGAGAACAAGGTAGGAAAGCTAATGGTAAGATCTAGAAACAAAGCCTGGAAAGGCATCTGGGCCCGCAAGGAAGCCTCTGCTGCCCAGATGTACGCCCACATCGGACTAGAGGAGCCGAAGTTAGAGAGGAGTGTCGAAGGTTGTTCTAGCAATCAGATTGTGGGGGAAGGGAGAGGGAGGAGCACCAGTGAAGCCTCAACTCAGCTGGGGTGACAGAGAGGGAGGACCAAAGACAGGCTCTGTGCTCTAGCTTGCCAAGGACACCAAAGTCAAGCAGACACACAGACCCTGTCTTTCACCACTATGTCAAAAACTTAAATTAACATATAAGCACATGGTACGTTCTCTGGCAAGTCCATTCCTTCTCTGGGTCGGTCTCAGGCTTCTGAGAACAAACAGCCTTATCTGGCTTGGCTGAGTATTACCTACTGTGTCCAATCCTGGGGGAATCCGACAATGCTCCCCCGCACACGCACATTTAGCCTGAAACTGCAGGGGTCTGCAGACTTCCGGCGGGCCAGCCGCAGACCCAGAGCCTGCCTAACGGAGCCCCGTCCGTGTATCATTCCGGGTCCCAAATCCTATGTTTTTCTCTTTTTAAAAGGGTTTTCTGCCCTGAGTTTATAAAGGGTGCTAGGATCGAAGAACTGCTTATCAGTAGGCATTCATCTGCTCTGGTCCAGGCACTGCGTGGTGTCCCTCTTGATCCTGCAACAGCCCAGCAAAGGGGAGACTCTCATCTGAGATGACGGACACTCACAGAGACTTAGTGACCACCCAGAGTCAGCACAGCGGGGTGCAAGCCAGGTCTGTGTGATCGCTAGCTTCAGAATCATCCCAGGGACGCCTGGGTGGCTCAGTGGGTTGAGCCTCTGCCTTCGGCTCAGTTCATGATCTCAGGGTCCTGGGATCGAGCCCTCATCGGGCTCCCTGCTCAGCGGGGGGCCTGCTTCCCCCTCTCTCTGCCTGCCTCTCTGCCCACTTGTGATCTCTATCAAATAAATAAATAAAATCTTTAAAAATTAAAAAAAAAAAATAATAATCCCAGGGCAGAGTCCTAGGTCCTACTCCAGGATCCCAACCCAGGAGGCCTAGAGATCTGCATTTCACGCCCCCCACCCCACCATTCTACAGTCAGTGGTCAAGGTCCCCTGGTCCTGGTCCAGGCACCAAGGCTGTCCTATGTCCCTGTCACTACCTCCTGCTATGGCATCCTTCAGAGGCAGAAGGCAGGGCTGGTACCCTGTGCCCAGTGGGGAAACAGAGGCTGGAAGGGAAGCCACAAGCCCAGCAGGGCCCACAGTCCCTGGCTGGGGAGGACTGATGGGGGGACTCACCATCTGGTCCGCCAGGAGCAGCACCGTCTTGAGGCTGAACTTGCGGGAGCAGAAGTTGAAGAGGTCCTCGAGGCTGGGCCCTAGCAGCTCCATGACCATCACATTGTAGTCCCCCTCCGCTCCGCACCACTTGATGGATGGGATTCCCACTGAGGGCCAGAAAACGGCTGTCAGGGTGGGACCACCCCCTGCACACACGCGCACACACACACACACACACACACACACACACACACGCGCGCGCCGCCAGAGCGCCTCAGGCCCCGCCCCCAGGCCCCGCCCAGCCCTCACCTCCTCCCTGCATCATCTTGTAGAACTTGCTCTCGATGTGCAGCTGCGGGTGCTTCGTTTTCACACACTCAAGCTTGATGGCAACTTCTTCACCAGAGGCAATATTGGCACCTGCCAGGGGCGGAGGAGAGCACAGGGGACCTGGGTCACGCTCGGCCAGGCAGCTGGCCTCAAGCCAGGGCCAAGCCGGACGTCTATGCCTGAGCAGCTCAGCACCCCTTGGGGGATGGCAGAAAAGCAGCAGAGGGCCCAGCACTGCATCCAAGGGAAGCGGAGGGACCGTGGGCACAGAGCAGACCCCCGGGCCAGTTGGGGCGGGAGGGGAGGGTGAGAAGAGCAGCACGTGCGAGGGGAAGGCCGGGAGGAACTGCGGACACGTCACAGAGCCACAGGCTGGTGCAGCCAGAATGTCAGATGCGAAGGGAGGCGAGATGGGCTGCAGACGGCTCACAGATCACGCGAGAGGAATTTTACCCTGGAGAGTGGGAGCCCCTGAGCTGGAGAGGAGTGAGGTCAGTGGGATGTCAGGAAAAAGGAGGAGAGAAGGGAGTGGGGCAAGCTTCTGTCTCAAGAAGTCCCATGAAAGACCCAAACCCAAACTGCCTTGCCTCAGTTTCCCCAGCTCTAATACTGAGTGGGCTGAGTTAGAGGCCAGGGGCCAGACTGAGGGACAGAGGCCAGGCGTCACTGCAGCAGGGGTGACTGAAACCGTGGAGCCTTAGCGCACACACACACAGAGCAGAAGAGCCAGGGGAGGACAGCAGCCCAGAAGACTGTAGGACAAGAGAAAGCCTGCGTCTCAAGTCAGGGGACAAGATGAGGCTCTGCCATGAGCAGCCCCAGAACCACTGGCTGGCCATCTGAGAAAAGACACCATAGTTCACCCCACACACACCAGAAATCCCGAGTGAAGCCAAAGTTTGTGTGGAAAAAAGAAAAAGGTGGGGTATAAGTGAGCACAGCCGCTTTGCCTTTTTATTGTTGTTAAGTCAGCTCTACACCCAACATGGGGCTCGAACTCACAACCCCAAGATCAAGAGTCGCACGCTGCCAGGCACTGAGCCGCCAGGCACCCCTGCACAGTCACTTTGAAAACCAGGCTGGCATTTACCCAGTAGAGTTGAATACACACAAACCCTTTCCCAAGCAAGCCCATTCCCGAGTGTCTGTCCTTCAGAATCATGGGAGCTCCAGGAGGACAAGAATGTCATGACTCCCAACCACCCAGAAGTCCGACATCAGAATGGCCAAGTTGCCATGCAGTCGGAGAGAAGGCCACAGGGCAGGGCAAAGGAACGGATACTGGCTCCAGGCAGCTGGTGCGTGGCTCCCAGCATTTTTTTTTTTAAGATTTGATTTATTTGTCAGAGAGAGAAAGCGCACTCACAAGCGGGAAAGCAGCGGGCAGAGGGAGAAGCAGGCTCTCCGCTAACAAGGAGCCTGCTGTGGGGCTCAATCCCAGGACCCCGGGATCCTGACTCAAGCAGAGAACAGACGCTTAACCAACTGAGCCACCCAGGCATCTCTCGGCTCCCAGCATCTTAACGCGTTGTCCGAGAGAGCGAGGAGCCGCACCATCCACGAGAACCCAAGGTGGAGACAAGCCAGTGCCCAGCAACGGGCCGTGTGGACAAACTGAATGCTTCTCTCCACGCAGCGGGACGTTACTCAGCCACAGGAAGGAATGAAGGACTGTTACATGCTACAGCATCGATGAACCCTGCAAACGTCCTACGCGAACAAGCCAGACACCAAAGCACAGATGTAGGATTCCATTATAGGAACTGTCCAGAATAGGTAAATCGGCAGAGCCCGGAAGTAGACTGGTGATTGCCAGGGATGGGAAGGGGGAAAGAGGGTGTGCCTATCTAACGGGTATGGGGTTTTCTTTTGGGGTGATGAAAATGTTTGCGGGAGGGCGCCTGGGTGGTTCAGTTGGTTAAGCGACTGCCTTCGGCTCAGGTCATGATCCTGGAGTCCCGGGATCGAGTCCCACATCTCTGCTCAGCAGAATCTGCTTCTCCTTCTGACCCTCCCCCCTCTCATGCTCTCCCTCATTCTCTCTCAGATGAATAAACAAAATCTTAAAAAAAAAGAAAAAGAAAATGTTTGCAGGAACTAGATGGGAACGGTGGTTGCACAACACTAGGAATGTACCAAATGCGACTGAATTGTGTATTTTAAAAACAGTTAATTGTATTATGCAAATTTTACCTCTGTTGAAGGAGAGGAAGAGACAGAAGGCAGGCACAGTTGAAAAGATACAATGCTGAACGGGGTTAGGTCTAGGGATACAAACGTAACAAAACTCTTTAACACAAGGGAACAATTTTCCCTCTGAGGGGAAAGGAGAGGAGGGGACACCATGGGGCGGCAGGGGCCTACATGGTGACAGGCACGTCCTCCTCTGAGGGGAAGGGAGGAAGGGTGCCTGACAGCATGCACACTTGCTGTATGTCTTCTTTTGCATCTACTCACACTTAATAAAAAGAAAACAATGAGACCTGAGAAGAGGAGAAGAGAAAACTGCCTTACAACTTTGGAACAGGCAAAGCTTTTTATCCCTGATTTAAAACCCAAAGGCCATTTAGAAAAAAGAAAAAAAAAAATGGCTCCATCCCATCCAAAATGGGAATCCCTTCTTCGTGGCAAAAACACCAGCAACAGGGGCGCCTGGGTGGCTCAGTGAGTTAAGCCTCTGCCTTCAGCTGGGGTCATGATCTCCGGGTCCTAGGAGCCCGCATCAGCCTCTCTGCTCAGCAGGGAGCCTGCTTCCCTTCCTCTCTCTCTGCCTACTTGTGATCTCTGTCTGTCAAATAAATAAATAAAATCTTTAAAAAAAACAAACAAAACACCGGCAACAAAGTCCTATGAACTATCCCTGTAACTTACCAGTGGCAAGGGGATGATGGCACTAACATGTTAACCAGCTCCTATGCCCCAGTAGGAAAAAGACCAAAGGCTCAAAGGAAACAGGGTAAAGGACCTACAGAGATGCTTCAAGAGAAAGAAATCATTAATATAAAAATGGTGAGATGCTCAACCTCCTTGTGAGAGTAACGCAAATGTTCCCCAAAGAGCTCCCCCACCAGTGCCTGGCGGAAGTCCTGCGGTGAGACGCCTGCGCTGTCCTGCGTGGGGCTGTGGGGCAGTGGGGACCATGGCTCGAGGAGCTCATGTGTTAACTGAATAAGCCAGCTCCCAGTTTGGGGGTGCACTCAACACCCTAGTGAGTACAGAAAGGGCCTGGATGAGGCGGTCCGCTGTGGGGTGTTTGCAACAGCAGAACTTGGACACAGCCCAGATGGCCGTCATTCTGGGGCCTGGTTAAATGAAGAATGGCCCATCAATAACATGGAATACAATGGAAAAAGAATGAGGAAGCTCTCTCTGTGCAGAAGTGGAAAGATCTCTCAAAGATACAGGAAGTGAAAAAGCAAAGTACAGAACAGTATGTATTCTATGCTCTTTCCAGTTTAAAAAAAATAAAAAGATGGGGGAAATAATACTGATCTGTTTGGTTGTATCTACATAAGAAAACGCTGGAAAGAAGCAGGAGAAACCAGTGAGGGACAGGCAGGGCTACGCTGACCCCTAGCCCAGGAGGGGACAACATTTTACTGGATTCTAGATTATGGACTGCCATCTTTCCTGACACCTCTTTTGGGATATAATTCACGTACTACACAATTATTTCTTTAAAGTGTACAATTCAGTGGTTTTTAGTGTACTCGCAAGGCTGTGTGATTCACACCCCAATCAACTTCAGAACATTTTCACCATCTCCAAAGCCCAGGCCCCTTCAGTTTTCGCTCTGCATCTCCCCCAAACCCCAGCTCCAGGCCACCACTCATCTACTTTCTGTATCTGTGGGTTTGCCTGTTCTGGATGTTTCTTTTAAATGGAATCATACAACATGTGATCCCTTGTGACTGGCTTCTTTCACTCGGCATGTTTTTGCGTTTTGGTTTTTGGTTTTGTTTTCATTTGTGAACCCCATAAAATAAAATTAATAAGAAAACAGATCAACAAATCCAGGGAGCAGCTGGAGAAAAACTACTTTGCAAACTGTAAACCACTTCTGGCACATCAGCAATGTATCACCGGGGAGGGTCCCGCCTGTTTCTGGAAGGCAGGGAGGGCGTGGCATGGGAGGCTGTTCTGAGGTATCAACAGGCTTCCAAGAATGCCTGGCCCAAGGGCGCCTGGTGGCTCAGTCTGTTAAGCCACTGCCTTTGGCTCAGGTCATGATCCCAGGGTCCTGGGATCAAGTCCTGCCTCGGGCTCCTTGCTTGGCAGGGAGCCTGCTTCTGTCTCTGTCTGCCACTCTGCCCACTTGTGCGCGTGCACAAGTGTGCGCTCTCTCTCTCTCTCTCTCTCTCTCTCACACACACACACACACACACACACACACAAATAAATAAAATCTTAAAAAAAAAAAAAAAGTAAGTGTTCAGCAGAAGCTTGGGCTTGGTAAGTACAGCCCCCTGGGCCTCAGACATGAGCCCAGTGCCCTAACCACAGACAGGCCAGTGGGAGGAAAGGAGGCAAGGGCTCCGGGAGGCGTGAGCGGGACTGTGCCAGACAGAGGTCACAGCACATGCAAAGGCCCGCTGGGAGTGGGGTACAGTGAGTTGAGTGGTTCGCTGCAGCTTGAGCTTGAGGCAGCTGTGGGAGACTGTGGAAGAGGTGATCAGAAAGGTCTCAAATGCCAAGTGATCTTGGCCTTGAGCCTGAGACTTCACGGGCCAGGCACGGATGCCTTATTAGAGGGATTCACAGCCTCCGCCCTACTGACGTCTGGGGCCCCGCAATTCTTTCTCATGGGACCTGTGCTGTGTGTTGTAGGACGGACTGCAGCGTCCCTAACACCAGCTCTCAGCAGCACACCCTCTTCCCTCAGTTCCAACGATAAGAAACGTCCCCAGACCTGGGGGACAAATCCGCCCCCCACCCCCACCCCTGTTCAGACCCACTGGCATGTTAGAAAGGACTGGAGAGGACATGATGGGCAAGGGAAACCCAGATGAGAGCTGATGGTGACCCCAGCCCCGGCAGGGGGCAGAGACCAAGACACTCGGAAAGTAGGGCCCCTAGGACTGTGATTCAGCAGACGGATGCAGGGAAGAGAGGTGCTGCAGAGAACACCCTTCCCTGAGATGGGGAGGGGCAGGTGGGAGGAGCCCTTTACCCCCCCCCCAGCCCCAACTCCCCCGCCATCCTGCAAGGACAACTGTTTGTATCTCTAGCTGACACATACAGAAACTGAAACACTTAAGGCCAAGAGATCAAACACCACACTAACTTCCCCAGGACAGGGAGCTCGCTCTCAGGTGAAGCTTCTGGGTTCCTGGAGAGTGTTGGAAAACGCCCACAGTGGGCGCCCCCCCCCCCCAGGTTCCCACCAAGGCAGGGGCCCCTCAGCTGCTTCCGACCTGTCTGGAAACTACCAGCCTTCTCTCTGGTCTCCCTGAATTCTCACTGCTGAGGCTCAGAAAGGTTAAGTAACTGGCCCAAGGTCACAGGACTTGTTGGGGCAGAGCTGGGTTTTGAATGTGAGTCCCCAAAGTCCCTGCTTTTTTCTCTCTCCCAAATGTCTAGCATCTCATTCATTCCACCGATAGACACACTGAGGCCCAGACCAGCGGAGGCAGCCCTGCCCAGACAAGCTCAACTCACCCTCTATGGGGGCAGCAAAGGAGAACTCTAAGCGGGAAATGCCGGAACAGGGGCAGGGAGAGCAGAGGTGACCCAGCAATTAGGGACAGTGGCCCCATGGGGGGATGGGCCAATCTGGAAAACACAGGTGGACATAGAGAAGGGCCTGGAGCTGGCCAGCCCTAGGATCGGGGGCCTGGGGATGCCCTGGGTAGGCAGAGGGGGTGACCAAGCTCACACCAGGGCTCATTCAGATACCAACACGGACACACAGGACAGGACCCTGGGGAGACCGATGCCCTGCCAATTAGAACTGAGGAACAGACACCACGAGTAAAGCACAGGGAGCTCTTGAGGGCGCACAGCCAGTGGTGGTAGAGGGGACACAGTCTCGGCCACTTCTGGACCCTGTGCAGCTGCTCCGAGACCCTCATGAGAGGCCGCAGGCCTTGCAGCCACATCCACCCAGTACTCGCCTGTGGCTGATCCTGGAAAGCAGGGCCTGGAGGCCGCGCCCAGCCCCACCTGCAGAGGCCATCTGGAGTCAGGCCCTGGCACTGGCACCAGTGACAAGAATGTGGCCAGGGCTTTGAACAAAGGGAGCCAGCGAGGCCAGCCGGGGAGGCCCTACAATCACCACTGTCCCCGCAGCAGCGCAACAGGAGCCCAGGAAGGAGGAGGCAGGACACAGCATCAGGCCAGGGTCCCCTGGACCTGAGCACCCAGCAGAGGCTGGACAGGAGAACTGCTCTCCAGGCAGAACTGGCACCCCACCCCCACTCAGGCCCAAGAGGACCCAAATCCTCTGACAGTAGCAAATCCCCAAAAAAGACCTCAGGCTGGTGGAGGACACAACAGAAGAGTGCCACAGCTGGGCCGAGCACGCGCAGGTGTGCACACTGGGGTCTCATTACCGCTCACCACCTTGCAGGCCTTCTGACCCCATTCTACCCATGGGGAAGCCAAGACCAGCGGAGGTCATCACCCATTCAAGGGCATACAGCTGATGCAAGAAAAGCCAGCCCCCAAGCCCTGGTAGAATTTACTCCAGAGCCTATACAAAGAGGAGTAAAGCTAGACTGGGTTTTCAAAATGAACTAGATAAACAGGAAGTCCTACCCCCAGGGAGGTTTCTCCACATGGACCAGGACTAGCTTTCCAAATGACCTTGGCCTGCCCCTCCCCTTTCAGGGCTTCTGTTCCCTTCTACGGGAAGAAGGCCCTGGACTGGATGTTTCCTGGGAGCAGATGTGCATCTGTGCCAAAAGCCACTGCTCCCTCTTTTTGCCCTTGGTCAGTCAGGCCTCATCATCCCATGAACTTTCCATATGGGGACACTGAGGCACAGAGCAGCCACCTGACTTTCCCAACGGCTGCACAAAGCCAGGTCTGGAACTCAGGTCTGTCTGACATCTCCCTCCCATGTTCTGTCACACTCTTGCACTCACATGGGTGCAAGGGCTGCCTTTTCTAGCGGGCAAGAGAAGCAGCGACCGCGCACCTGCTTCTGGCTGTGTGCGGAACAGGAGGGCTCCAGCTCGACCTGCTGCTGTGTGAGGCAACCACAACCAAAGAGGAGCCTGCCCAGCACCAACTACGTGCTCAGACAGTGAGTGTCCCTTCCCTGTCCTCTCTGATGGGGCAGGGGGCAGCTCATGGAGAAGCAGAGTTCATACCCCAAGAGAGCAGAGACCCAGACCGCTGGGTAAGAGACCGCCCCCTGCCTCCCGGGTTCAGAACCAGCAAGCACAGCACACGGCCTTGTTGTTTTTCTCTGCCCAGGACAGAAATGATTTACTTTGCTTTTCTAAGGAGGGCAAGAGCGGCCAAGAGACAGGAATGAGGCCAAACCCCAGGGGCTGGACACCCTGCGCTATCAATTCCCACTCGCAACTATCGCCACAGGCCCTCCCCTCCAGACCAGCAACTGCAGGGGAAGGGCCGTGGCTCCCGACCACGCATGCGCTCGGGCAGCTGAGACGGAGGCAGTTGAAGGCAGGAGCCTCTCCTCTGCCAGGCTGAGGAACGGGGTTGAGATGTCAGCGAGTTGTTTAAAATGACAACAGGAGCGCAAACTCAGACTTTCAACAGGAAGCACATCCGGAGAGAATGATCCTGAAAACTCTGGCCAGACCCGTACCCCCACCCCTACCCAGAGGTTACTGGGAGAGACTGCGTCACTGTCATTCCAAAGCCAGCCTGGGCTGAATTCCAGGGGCCAGAGCAGAGGGAGGGGGCCCAGCTGGGAGCTGAGCGATAGTCCAGGCCTCTTCTGTCTACCAGCATCCTTCCCCCAGGAGGCAAGAAACAGGGGTGCTACCCCAGCCGGGGCCTTCCCACGCCCAGCTGGAGACCCAGGTCATCTGCAGCTGGACACCAGAGCTAAAAATACCCTCCTGCGTGCAGCCTGCAGCAAGCGGGAACCCCGCCCCACCCTGACTGTGTGACCCACTCCCCTGGTCAGCCTCACCCCCAACCTGCTGCTTCTCTCCCTACCTGGCATGGCCCTGGGGACAAAATGACCAAAAACGTGCCACTGGAGGCTGGAGCCAAGTTCCAGCTGGACAGCCTGAAGTCCCCACATGTTTCCTCCTACTCGTCTCTGGCACTGTCCCAGGGGCCCCAGAGCCACCAGGCTGAAGTCAGGGACACTCACCCAGGTAGATGTCTCCGAAGGACCCACTCCCAATCTTCCGTCCAAGGCGGTACTTGTTCCCCACACGCAGCTCCATGACTCACTCACTGCAGAGGGGAGCAGAGACACAGGGGTCAGGGAGGCGGGGAGCTGGGAAGGGAGCCTCGCCAGCTGGCCCCCACCACACCCGCCCCCCAAAGGCCCTCCCACTGTACAAGAACAGAGCTGGCCTGGCTTCGCCTGAGGGCACCCGGGTGTCAGGTGGGCCAGAGTGTCCCCCTGTGAGGGCCAGGAGGCAGGCTGAGGACGTGCGTCAGGGGCTAATGCCCCAAAGCAAAGAGCCAAGTAAGCATCTCCTTGGGGGACATTCATTTGGGGACGCTCCGCTAGGAGCCTCTCAGGGGAGGGCCAGTCACAAGGGGCCAAGACCCTAAGAGGGAAAATCAAAGACAAAGGGGGTGGCGGGGGGTGGAAATCGGGAGCTGATCACTCTGAGACTGCCACCACGGCAACCACCAGCAAGTTCTCACCTTCCGGGATGGGAGCACATGTTGACTGGAGGGTCCCACAGGAGTTCCTGAGCCCCTTTAAGACTCAGAAACGACAGGGTCCCCTGCTTCCAACCCCAAGCCCCCACGCTTCTGGTCACAAGTATTGGGCACCAAGCCTCCACAGCCTGGCCCAGTCTTTCCAGAGGCCAGAAGTTGCCATCTTGAGAGAGAGGCCTCCTCTCCAGCTCAGAGGGCAGGCAGGGAAGGGGGCCTCAGAGCAGCCAGCCGTCTCCCCCTCTCGACCTCACGACACCGAGCTCCTCACACAGAGCTTTTCCTTGAATGGACAGTTTGGGGCTGGCTTTCTTCAAGACTAGAAGGAGGGTCTCCTTAGAGAGCCCCAAAGAGCAACTGAGGGGACCACGGCCAGGTTTTTAGCCACCAGGCTCTGGGGTGGACGGAGAGGTCTGATCGGAGTGGCTCCTCTCCTTCCCGTGCCCCACCCTGGGTGCCCAAGCTCATGCGACATCAGGGGCCACCCTGATAGAGACCTCTGCTCTCTGAGGTCCTGGCCCACAGAAAGGGAAACTCAAAGGCTGGGAGCCGGTTTCTACACTTAGGGGATAGAGGACGGCGGCTATGGAACGCGAGAAGGATGGGGGATCCCTAAGATCTCAGAATGTCTAGAGAAGAGGCCTCCCTCTACAGACAGGGAACTTGGGCCTAGAGAGGCCGCGTCACCTGCCCCTGCTCCCCAGCAGCAAGTTGGTGGCAGTCTCCTCACCTGGGACCCAGACAGGGTTCCCGCTGCCCCCACCTGACACAAACAGGACTTACTTCCTGCCAGGGCTGGGAAGCAAAGCAGGACGATGGAGAAGGAGCTGCACGAGGCACAGCAGCCGGCCCCTTCCCCATGCCCAGGGATATCCCCAAAGCCAGACCCACCTGGGAGGGGAGATGGGAAAGATTTAATTCGCAGATGGCCAGGCTGGAGCTCTCTGCCCCCAGCAGAGGCAAGAAGCCACCAGCTCCTGCCCAAGAGACACCTCTTGCCCCAGGACCTAACTCCCAGCGGAGCGGTCACGAGCCCTTCACTGAGGACCACAAGGAAGCAGCCTCCACCCCAGGCCAGCCAAACTCTGGGCTCTCAACCAAGGGCCTCTGCCCACACGCCTGGCCGGTGGCCGCCAGTGGAACGCACTCCACATTTGCAGAAAACTCACATGCCACACATTTCACATACACAGTGACCTGTGTGTACACTCCAAAGGAAGAAAGAAAAGCCAACACACACCAGGGGCCCCACAGTGGGGCGGTGGGGGGGGGTACTAGGGAGAGAGGAAGGAGGGAGGGTGTCGCGAGTGTGTACATACACAAACACTGCCCCCCCCCCCGTTTTCCGCCAACGCCAATTCGGAGACCACACATGGCAGCCGGGAAAGCCGCAGGTTAGGAAAGGAACATAAATATACCCGCATCCTATATTACATAAATACCCACGCCGGGTTATATAAATACCCGCGCCCTCCGTCTGGGTGCCTTACATAAATACACTGCACATGACCCCCCAGCCCCTCCCCACTCACCGGGCTGTGGGCAGAGAAGGGGAGAAGAGAGGGCGCAAACAACCAGCCCTGCCGGAAACCACTGCTGGGCGCTAGCCTCCCAGACCCGGGGGGCCAGGCCCCCAGGGAGAGTCTACACGGTCCCAGCCCGATCCCCTAAAAACCCTCCCAGAGGAGAGGAAAAAGGATCCAGTCGGGAAAAGGAGAAGCTTCCCAGTTCTTTGCCGCTTCTCCCATGGGGGGTGGGGGGGGGGTTGGAATAAACGAAGTTAAAAAAAAAAAAAAAAGGGCAGACGCAAACCTGGAGTTTCAGCTTTAAACAAATTACACAAACTACCAAACAGCAGAGCGCATGGGCAGGTTTCTTACTCTCTGACACCCCCTCACCCCCAGCCAGGGCCCTCGTCACTGGACCATTAAAGTAGAAATTGGAGGGACATTCTAGACAGGAAGGCAAACGAGCCCCAAGCCCAGGCATCCGCTGGGCGCAACTTCAGACACTCCGGATCTCCTTCCCTTCTCCCGGAATCCTTCTCCCCGCGGAAGGCTGTGCCAAGAGGAACATATGCAGAACTCAGGGAAAAGTTGGGGAGGGGGCTCACCCCACTTGGAGTCTGGGCGTGAAGAGGGGCTCGGGGATCCTCTCTCTAGAGCTAACCCGGCCACGGACATAGTTTCATGTGCCACAGAGACTCGCAAAACACGGATTTCTCACGGGCAGAAATGGGAGAATCCGAGCTGATACATAACCCCCACCCCTTTCTTTTCTCCACAAAGGAAAACAGAATCGGTGGCTGGGTGACCACACAGCCCAGCACGTCGGGGGGCCCCCCACGCGCCCCCGAGCGCCCCCATCCACCGTGCGGGAGCAGCCTCGCTGACCCCCAGGTCCCGAGCCAGGACAGAAGGGGGGAGGCGCCGCTGATTGTCCGGCGAAACACACACAAGCCCGGGGTCTGGCCGGGAAGCCCGAGTCAACAGTATCAACAGTCTCGGGTGCCCCCGGCGCCCCGGGCCTGGACGCCCCCCGTTCCCGCAGCGTCCCCCAGTTACAGCCCCGGGGATGGCCTCTCGGCCGGCTGGGGCCTTGAAGGGTCCAGCTGGGGGAGGGGGAGGCGGGCCGGACTTGGGGGGGGGGGCTCCCCCGGCGAAGCCTGCAAAATAATAGTCACCCTCCTCCTCCTCGTCCCCAGCCGCGCCTTTGTCCTCGCCGGGCCGAGCGGGCGGCGCCCGGGCTGCACCCCCCGCCCCGTACCCGAGTGCGAACGCGCGTGTGTCCGCCCTCCCCTCCCCTCCCTCTCGCGCAAAAACAAAGAGGCGGAGGGAGCTCCGTTTCCCCCCGGGTTTGCGCCCCTCCGCGGGCTCGCGCCCCCCCAATATTTACCCCGCCGGGAAGGCTCCGGTGCCGGGCCGCTGCTCGGGGGGCTGCCGCGGGCGGGGGCGGCCCGCCGGGGCGGATGCCGGAGGATTCGCGGAGCCGCCCGGCGCGCCAGCCTCTCCCGGCCCAGCCGCCGCCGCTACCGCCGCCGCCGCCGCGCTCCGCTCCTCTCGGCCCCGGCCGGGCTCGGGCTCTGGCTCTGGGTTCTCGCCGCCGCCGCCGCCGCCGCCGCCTCCCTCCTCCGGGCCCTCCTGCCCGCCCTCCCCCGCCGCCGGCTCGCGCGCTCCCGTTCGGCGCGCGCCCGCCGGCTCCCATTGAGCCCCGGGCCCGACCGCTGATGTCATCCCCGGCCCGCCGCCGCCGCCCCGGAGGATTTAAAGGGCCCGCGCCTCGGCTCCCGGGGACGCTGGGGGTGGGGGGAGCGCTAGGCCGGGAAACACGGTTTAGCCATCCCTCCCCCACGCCTGGCGAGGAGCGCGTTGCAGGAACGCGGTCTTACGTGTGGGCCGGGGAACACACACGGCCACCGACACCCTGATCAGGTCTGGGGCACAGGTGGAAAAAGCTGGGTGGGGGTGGGGAGGAGGCGGTGCACAAAAAGCCGGGATTTTCTAGATCCCAAAGCCTCTTCTTCCCCCGGTTCTCTCTCCTCTCAAACCAAAGCAGTGGCCCCTGCGAAGGCCACAGCAAAAAAAAGAATGTTTGGGGAGTTGGGGGCTCTGAGTACTACAGAGAACACAGGTCAATGATTGGACAGGACAGCAGGAGACAGAGAGGGCCCAGTTGACAAAAGATCCAGGGAGGTAGCCAGGGCTCAGCTACCCTCACCACCTCGCGTGTCCCTCACCCCACAGAAGGGACTCTCCCAGCTCTTCCAGCAGCCCAGACTATGATGAGCACAAACCCTGATCCTGGTCTCACTGGTTCAGTGAGGAACCTGGCACACTGCCAGGGAACTAACATGGAGTCAGGGTCCCTGGCAGTGCAGGGTTTGCTAAGGCACCTGCCAACTCTGGCCTTGGCTTTCCACATCTGCAAAATCAGGAAGGAGACCCTTGGCTCCCCAGGTCACTGGGAAAATTAATTATGGCTTCTCACCAGCTTCCAGGGTAGCCAATGAAAGGTTCTAATGCAAAGTTATTAAAACAATGATATTGACACTGGGCCATGCAAAGCTCCAAATTATGACACACGTCCATCCACACACATGGCTGTGATGGTGGAAACATGAAATACCAGAGCGCGCTGCAGCCAGTCCAGGAAGCATGGTTCCCGGGAAGAGTCACTTCCCTAATAACCACATCTTCCCTCGAGCCTGAGGGACTTAGTCACACCCTGTCCAAACTGGTGGGACCCCGCAGATCAGGCGCCTCTTCTCTTCCAGATCAGGAAACTGGGGCCCAGAGAGGGGAGCAGTTTGCCCAGGACCACACAGCACGACAAGACAGATAGTTGGCCCGGGCCAGGACCTGGCCTCAGTGCCCCCTTTGCCAGAGCAGGGGGTCACCAGCCAAGGTGGTGGGCTTTGCTTGACCTGCGTGGTGTTTTTTTTTTGTCATTTATACTGCTTTATTAATTGATAACCAATGTTTTAAATGTGCCGATTTCATATTATAGGTCCGTATTCCCTACTTCCCTTGAAGCCCCAGGAGAACGGGCAACA